CATTATTTCATTCTTTTTTATGGCTGAGTAATATTCCATTGTATGTGTATGTACCACATCTTCTTTATCCATTCATGGACACTTAGGTTGTTTCCATGTCTTGGCTATTGTGAATAGTGCTGCTATGAACATAGGGGTGCATGTAGTTTTTGAATTATAGTTTTGTCTGGATATACGCCCAAGAGTGGGATTGCTGGATCATATGGTAATTTTATTTTTATTTTTCTAAGGAACCTCCATACTGTTTTGCACAGTGGCTGCAACAGCTTACATTCCCACCAACAGTGTAGGAGGCTTTTCTTTTCTCCACATTTTCTGCAGTATATTATTTGTCGACTTTTTAATGACGGCCATTCTGACTGGTGTGAGGTGATACCTCATTATAGTTTTGATTTGCATTTCTCTAATAATTAGCAATGTTGAGAATCTTTTCATGTGCCTGTTAGCCATCTGTATGTCTCTTTTGGATAAATGTCTATTTAGATTTTCTGCCCATTTTTCGATTGGGTTGTTTGCTGTTGAGTTGTATGACTTGTTTGTGTATTTTGGAAATTAAACCCTTGTCGGTCACATTGTTTGCAAGTATTTTCTCCCATTCTGTAGGTTGTCTTTTCGTTTTGTTTATGGTTTCCTTTGCTGTGCAAAAGCTTGTAAGTTTGAGTAGGTCCTGTTCCTTTATTTTCGGTTTTATTGCTATTGCCTTGGGAGACCTAAAAAAAATACTGGTAGGGTTTATGTCAGAGAATATTTTGCCTATGTTCTCTTCTAGGCGTTTTATGGTGTCATGTCTTGTTTAAGTCATTAAGCCATTCTGAGTTTATTTTTGTGTAATGGTGAGAGGGTGTGTTCTAACCTCATTGATTTACATGTGGCTGTCCAGTTTTCCTAACACCACTTGCTGAGGAGACTGTCTTCTTCCCATTGTATATTCTTGCCTCCTTTGTCGAAGATTAATTGACCGTAGGTGTTTGGGTTTATTTCTGGGCTCTATTCTGTTCCATTGATCCATGTCTGCTTTTGCGCCAATACCAGACTATTTTGATTACTGTAGCTTTGTAGTAGTGTCTGAAGTCTGGGAGGGTTATGCCTCCTGCTTTTTTTTTTTTTTTTTTTTTTTGGTACACGGGCCTCTCACTGTTGTGGCCTCTCCTATTGCGGAGCACAGGCTCCGGACACGCAGGTTCAGCGGCCATGGCTCACAGACCCAGCCACTCCGCGGCATGTGGGATCTTCCCGGACCGGGGCACGAACCTGTGTCCCCTGCATCGGCAGGCGGACTCTCAACCACTGCGCCACCAGGGAAGCCCTACCTCCTGCTTTTTCTTCTTCAGGATTGCTTTGGCAATTCTTGGTCTTTTAATGGTTCCATATGAATTTTAGGATTATTCTAGTTCTGTGGAAGATGTTATGGGTAATTTGATAGGGATAGCATTAAGTCTGCAGAATGCTTTGGGTAGTATGGCCATTTTAACAATATTAATTTTCCCAATCCAAGAGCATGCCACCCTGCTTCTTTATTCATCATCCCATCACTACCCTGAGAGCCCCTTGCCTTCGGGGAGGCAGGCTTGAGATCGGTTCTCCCATCTCCTACCTCAGTTAACTTGCAAAGACATCCTCTCTTTGTCTCAAATCTTGGAATCTCAGTGTTTCAGTTCCTTGAATGTCAGGCAAGATGAACCTGGTTTGCTAACAGTTTCTCTTCATCTGGATATCTGGCTCTGTGCTAACCTGAGAATGAAGGTGTCACATGGAACTCAATGATGTGAGCCAACAGACCCTTCCTTGTGTAAGGCTGTTTGAGTTGGATCTTGTGTTACAAGCACCCAACGGTATCCAGGTAAAGGAGTGCATTGTGTTTGGGACCCTAGGAGCCTCTCCCAGAGCATCGTCTGCAGGTTCTGGTGCCGGCACTTCCTATGTGGCCTCACCTTGCTGGATCCCTGACTGAGAGCCCAGTTCTGTGCGTCTGAATGCCTCGCTTTCAGCCGGAACCGTGCCATGCTGGCACGTAGTTTGGTCTGACCCTAGGTGTGCTTGTAGACCCAAAACCTCTGACATCCTGGTTTCTGCTGGTACTTGGAGAACATGTAGGTACACCTCATAGTTCTGAAACATCTGCTGCCCCCAGTACCTCACAGAGCCCTGCTCACCTGTGGCCCCAGCACCACTCTACTGGTAGTCCCATGCCTAGCCCCCCCCAGTCTGCCTCTGCCATCAAACCCGTGTTCTCAGCCCTCTCCTGCCTTTCCCAACTCTGCTGAAGGTGAGATTTTTTTCTTTTCAAATTGCAACAGGTAATGAAAAGAAAGAACAACTTAGTATTTATTGCATTATTTATGCCCTGGGAAAATCTGAATACCAGTAGTCAAAGTATAATGAATAATGGATGTAAATAGCTTTTTTCCAGATAGGAAAAACAGACAAGAAATTTCCCCCCAAAGTATCAGTATAGCATATTGTGCCGGATCAAGGTTCTGAAGATTCTCAGCTGCACCAGACCTAAACCTAAGAGATGTGAGGATGGTTTGGGGGCAGGGGAGGCACACAGGAGGCTCAGGGCAGCAGCTAATTACCAACTGAGGGGTATGTTTCAATGGCTTAACAATCTGCATAGCTGTACCTGTTCTTAGTTGAGTATCTACCTTAAATGTGCATACTTTTATTAAGTTATGTAATATTTACTTGGATCTTTAATGTTAAACCCTGTAAGTACTTACGATTTTAAACTATCACCAACATTTGTTTATAAAAACTTACAGTGATGGGCTGTTACCTAACACTACCCTTTTGAAAAGGTACCATACTGAATGACAAATTACATTTGCCACAATGAATGACAAATTACTACCTTGAATGACAAAACTGTAATGCATGCTGGGCTCTGGCTCAAAGGGCTAATGTTGAAAGCTGTTATGAAATTGTATATGAAAGTAGGCTCTTGAACTTGGAGGCTAAAAATACCAGGAACTTGATAAATCAACCCTAAAACTAAGGTTTAACTTTTTATCATAAAGGTAAGAAAGTCTTACTGGGAAAAAACAAGTCTCCTTACAAATGGAGGGTTTTTTCTCTTGAGTTGATACTGTTGATACAGCTCAGCAATGCAGCTTTGGAGAAAATGCTTGCTGACAGTAAAATGAGGGTCTTAAATAAAATTATTATTTTTTTTTTTTTTAAATTTTTGGCTGTGTTGGGTCTTTGTTACTGCGTGCAGCCTTCCTCTAGTTTTGGAGAGCGGGGGCTATTCTTTATTGCAGTGCACAGGGTTCTCCTTGTGGTGGCTTCTCTTGTTGCGGTGCACAGGCTCTAAGCATGTGGGCTTCAGTAGTTGTGGCAGGCGGGCTCAGTAGTTGTGGCACGCAGGCTCAGTAGTTGTGGCGCACGGGCTTAGCTGCTCCTCGGCATGTGGGATCTTCCCGGACCAGGAATCAAACCTGTGTCCCCTGCATTGGCAGGCCAATTGTTATCCACTGCGTCACCATAAGTCCCTAAAATGAGGGTCTTATTGAAGGAAAATACTTAGCATAACATCCCCAGAGGATCAAGTGTTCTTGTAAATGTGACTAAACTTACTCTAAAGATAACAAAAAAAATACCAAATTGTGTATGAGAGAGACTTTAGGGTTATTCTAACTCAGAATGGTTACCCTGGCTCAAGGATGACTATCAAAAATGTACATTTACTCTGAAGTCCAAATACTAGCGGTGGGACTTCCCTGGTGGCGCAGTGGTTAAGAATCCACCTGCCAGTGCAGGGGACACGGGTTGGAGCCCTGCTCCAGGAATATCCCACATGCCGCAGAGCAACTAAGCCCGTGCGCCACAACTCCTGAGCTCTAGAGCCCACAAGCCACAACTACTGAAGCCTGCGTGCCTAGAGCCTGTGCTCTGCAATAAGAGAAGCCACTGCAATGAGAAGCCTGTGCACTGCAACGAAGAATAGGCCCTGCTTGCCACAACTAGAGAAAGCCCGTGCACACCATCGAAGACGCAATGCAGCCAAATAAATAAGTTAAAAACAAACACAAATACTAGCAGTATCTAAGCCACAGAATTGTTCTAAAAGGATCTTTTAAAATGGGGTTATTCAGGGCTTCCCTGGTGGCACAGTGGTTGAGAGTCCGCCTGCCGATGCAGGGGACACGGGTTCGTGCCCCGGTCTGGGAAGATCCCACATGCCGCGGAGCGGCTGGGCCCGTGAGCCATGGCCGCTGAGCCTGCGTGTCTGGAGCCTGTGCTCCGCAGCGGGAGAGGCCTCAACAGTGAGAGGGCCGCGTACCGCAAAAAAAAACTACTACTACTACTAAAATAGGGTTATTCAGTTCAGGAACATGCAGGTGAGGTGACCCGCCATGGGCCCAGCCCCTGGATGATGATGATGTCCTTCACTGGCTATTGCTGACCTGTTTGTTGGTGGCCACTTAGATATATATGGTATTTAACTCCACATATATCACTATGGTGGGTCAGGTTCCAGACAGTCTTCCTTGTACCTACCAGCTTAACCTTTTGGACCTCATTCCACACCCTAAGGTACTAAGTCTAAAGTGCTTTTAAGGATTGAAGAGAACAGCACAGACCACTAGGAACAAAGTAGATAACAATTTCTGAGCAACCAAAAATAAATGGGTACTAATGCAGCTGGGTCTCCGATAAAACTGTATGAACTGAATGTGTGGAACCAAATATGGCAGGAAAACCTCATTTAATGAGGCACAACTTGGTAAGCTGGGAACGTGAGGTTTGTCCCCTTTAGATGTAAATCTGATGTCACTTAAAATGATTAGTTTCAGTTTCTGAGGCTTACGTTCCTGTCACATCAAATTTGTTAAAACTTACGGAACTAAAGATAGAAATAGTCCTTGAAAGGATCTTAACTATACTCACTCACAGACCCTTATTTCATTATATTCTTGTTTTTCAAGAATCTCAAGTTTTAACTACTGTTTAAACACGAGTGGGTATATAGCTTTTCAATGCAGAAATCGTTAGTCTCATTACACTGGTTACACCATGTTTTTATTTCAATTTGCTCAATGTGAAGAAAAACAAAACAAATAAACTCAATTTCTTCTGCAGGTCTGGTCCTTCTCTACAGCGGTTGTTACAGACAGTCCTGAAGTAGCTGGAATACAGCCAGCAAGGGCCCAGGTGGAGCAACAATTCATCTTGCATCTGTAAGTATATATTTATTTCCTTTGGTGCCTTGCACAGTAAGGCACTATTAGTAACAGAATAGAAATGGCCACAGCAAGTAGTTCTAGTGACAATTTACTAGACAAGTTACAGTTTAATGGTGGTGGTGATTTTCATTTTATTATTTTTTACAATAAGGGTGTAATCTTTATACTCCACACACACAAAATAAAACAAGAAGTGCTTATGAAAGAGTCCCTGCCCCCACCCCCCATCTCAAAACATCCTGAACATAGCTATTCAATAGAACAGAAAAATCAAGACATGTTTGATTTCAAAATTTCAATAAAAAAGCAAAGCATGTAATGCAACAGCTGTTCAACCTCCCACTCTAAAATAGGCACCGTTAGACAAACAAAACTCCCGGTACTTTAAATTTCTCCAGCACACATTCCAGTATAAATGTTCTGAACTGTAATCAGCTAGTAATTAATAATGGGAATAGAACCTTAGAACAGAAGTTATATTGCTTCCCTGCACCCCTTTCTCTTACAGTTAGAGAGTAGAGGTATCAGGGGATACGGAGTCAAAGGAAGAAGGATTAAAAAGAAATTCCCAAAGTTTCTGTTTTTTGGACAAGAAAGGAAGACAGCATTTTACAAATGTTCAAAAAATCCCAAGGCAAGTAACACAATTCATTCACTATCACTCCTACTAGAAAGAATGAAGACATCAGCAACTTATTATATAAAACTGTACTTTCAGAAGTGTATTACAAGTTCACCAGAAACTATGGATGTAGTTTTAGGCTTCATCAAAGAAAACAAGTTCAGATCAAGTTAGATGCTATACACCTAGCCTAGCTGGATCGGTGTCTGGAACTGCTCACTGTGTCACCCTGAACAGCTGTAAACTAAACAATAGTATGTAACTCCAGAGGAAGCTTAAGGATTGAGGATATGTACACAGCTAATTATATCTCCCCTGCTTCGCGCTCTTCAGAGCTCCTCCTGTCTTCTGATCTGCCATTAGCGCTCTCATAGGACCGCTTCTTATCTTTTCGATCTCTGTCACGAGGTGATCTGTCTCTTGAATTCCTGTCTCTGTCACGTGATGCTAAGTCTTGTTCTCTGAATCTCTCTTTTGAGGATCTGAAAAATATTAATTTGAGGAGCAAAATGTGTTGGGAAACCCAAAATCCAAATGAAAGAATCGGATAAATATTAAGGTACTGATTAGCTGAAGATATACAGAATGCATCCAAGAAAAGAGCACTACTGTATTTGACAAGGGTACTAAAACAAGGAGATGGATGAAGACAAATAGCTAAGGGTCAAAAACCATAAGCCAAAATGATTTACAGGACATTCTCATTATCTTCGAGGCAACCCTAAAGCTTCTCCAGTTCATAGCAAACATATTTAATATAAAAATAATATATAGACAATACCTTAAAGATGTTATCCAATGTTTTAAGAATATACAATAGAATGTAGATTCCCACTCAGATGGAAATCAGTGGCTTAGGACAGGGGTCAGGAACCCTTTCCTCTTTGCTGTCTGCCCAGAGGGATAAATATTTTAGGTGTTGCAGGTCATGTGAGTGTGGGATACTCTTCCTTTTCTTTTTGTCAACCCCTTAATATAAAAACCATCATCCATAGCTCCCTGGCTGTATAAAAACAGGCTGTGGAGCCACATGTGGCCTGCAGGCAAGTTTGCCAACACTCAGGTAAGAGAACTACTCAATGATATGGCTTTGAGCAACCATTTATTATTTAAAACTCTGCTTTATTCCTGCGGAGTTAGCTCATTCAACCGACAGAAAAAGATACAGAGAAAGATGATCACACTGTAATAAACCTTGATTAACTGTAACTGTTTAATACCACCTTTCCATTCCCATACCCAAGTCAAGAAGAAAGGTAATAAGCTCATACCAGAGATTCAATCAAAAGGAAACCCAAAGGACATTAGGGGATCAGAATTAATATGGAATCTTCTATACCTTCAACATCTAGAATAAATCAGTAACATATTACATTTATTTGGTTCTTCACGGGTGACATGGTACTTTTACATAATTCTCTCACTTAACCCACATTCAGAATTAGGATCTGAGGTCTGATTAAGTAATACTTTCAACTTCTAAGGCAGGGGAAAAAGTACTACCCTACTACCCAGTTTTAGAAATACAGTTAAAAAGGATTAAACCAAAATTAAATGTCAATTTCTGGCATTCTACTTAATTAAGGTTTTAATAAGCTTAATTTAAAAATAATGTGTTAAATCATACAGTGCACATTCCTATCCATGTCTTTGTAGGAATGGAATATGAAGAGAGACGACTGAGATGATGCCTAAGAATAAGGACACGCATTGCTGGTAAGTCCCAGAGAAATAAGAACAAACTAAGTATCAACTAGTATTCTGCCAGAGATTACAGTGTCCTTATTACAGAAGCAGTTTTCACTCAGTATTTCACTCAAACTATCGATAATCCTGACAAAGCAGGCACCCTTCTACTAAGTAGATAAGGAAAGACAGGAGGGGTAATTAGATAATTTGGCCAAGGCCACTTTCATCCAAGTAGTCTGACTCTGAAGTCTGCACTGTGTGTGTCTGAACGCAGCAGAAAAATGCAAACGGTCCTCATTTACCAAGGGTAACTGTTACCCGGAAAGGCCACAAGGAGAATCTACTTATATTGGAGACCAGTATCTCACAGTTGGAGCAGGAGAACGGCAAGTTATAAAAGACCTTTAACTGGGGCTTACCTTGAAATTTAAACTCAACTACTATGTAGGAATAACTTTATATTCTCTTTTATACAGTAACTGTAGATGGTAGTAGCAATTGTCTGCTAATTTTTGGCAAAAAACAAAATACTGCTTTGAAAAAGTAATTTGAGTATCAAGATTAGAAGTGCTCTTGGGAACAGAATAATTTTACAAAAATAATCCTCTTTATTAACATGCTGAAAATACTAGATGAGGGGTGTCAGGCGGTATGGTGGAAAAATTTCCTATATGTCTTGATTAACAGAGGAAACCTTAGGGACTAGGTCCCAGAAGAGGAGACTTCATGCCCATCTCTCCATCCCTACCACCAAAAATGACATTTAAGAGTTCAGAGACATCAGAAAAAATGACAGGTAGCCAAGCTGACAAGAGAAATTATCTAGACCTATCAACCAGCAAAATGATTCTTAAAATTTACAGTGCAGGTAAGATTCCTGAAGAATTGTTTTAAATGTATTTTTCTGGACACTGTACTGTGTGCCTAGTTTTAAGAATGAGATAAGTGGCCTAGAATTCACACCATGCGGAGCTCTGCCCTCATCAATTCCCTGCTCATTCTCTGCATTTGCCTATAATACCCAGAATATTTTTCCTACCTGGTTTTATCAATCGGATTATACCCACTCTAGGTTTTAGGCTATTCCCTGAAGCCATTTTTTTTGTTGTTGTTGTTACTCTGGTACTTCCCTCACCTAATCTCCTGTATTATTTACTCTGATATCCAGTTTAGCACTTTGTCAGTGCTCATTATTATCAAAGATGTTATTAGTCCTGTGTCCTAACTCACTCGACTAAAGCTGCTCAACTACATTATACTTATTTTTTAATACAGTAGAAGGTATACAATTATTACTGATTTAAAGTCTCCTGAAGAACTACTTGGTTTTCTAAGAGTGGAACTTAAATGTTCTCACCAAAAACAATAAAAATATATGTGAGGTGATGGAGGTGTTAATTAACTAGATGGAAGGAATCCTTTCACAATGTCTATGTAGAGCAAATTACCACAATGCCCACTTTCCATGTCTTACAACTTACTTTGTCAATTATGCCTCAGTAAAGCTGGGGGTGGGGGAGGGAACCTACTTGGAACAAGGCAAGAATATAAGGAATAAATAAAAGAGCCTATTATATCCAACGCAGTTTGTGAGCAGTTTCAGGGAAAGGCTAGCTGAGGGGGGAAAAAAACAAAATCTGCAGAAAGCTGTTAAAAATTTATCACGAACTTTATGTGGAGTAATCCACAGAAAACTTAAGATTAGTAGATACTAGGCACTCAAAAAATGTTTCTGTTCCATAGAAATGACCTGGCTTAAGGGCCATAATGGGACCTGAGAAGTTTGGGGAGCTTGGTCTATACAGACCATGAGTGCTTAAGGCTCCACCACATTCTAATCCTTTGTCCTGATTAGATATTCAAGTCCTTAAAACATACCTCACCCTGGGTCTGCTCTCCTTGCACGTTTTGAATTTTCATGCCAATGACGTCTAACTTCCTTTAAAATTCTGAACCTGCCCTGCCCTGCCCAACTAACTATATAACAATGCATATCTACAGTGCAGAATAAACAAGAATATACTGAATGTCTGCTCTGAAAAAGTACACCAGCTCAAAGAAGTTCAGAAAACAGTAAGTCAGACAACTCTTAATGAAAGGACTTCTCAGAGTCCCTAATTCACCAATACATACTGGAAAAGCTCTAACAGTACTGGTACCTAAAATTATTTGCCCATAAAGTACTTTTTCCCAAGACACACTAAGCAGAGAAAAGCAATAACCTCTGCACAGATTGGTTCCAATTTCTTACTCTTGCTCGTAAGTATATTCTTTCTGAACTACCCATATATTCAGGAAAAAAAATGTTATACACTCACACACAAATGTGTACAAATTAGCAGATGCCAAGTTCAAACCACCAGTATTCCAAGTCTAAACTGTAAAGGTAGTTCCATATCCTCCTATGGACCTCAGTACCTCCTCCTGGATCGCTCTCTGCTCCTGTCTCTAGAACTGTGCCCACTTCTCTGGTGGCTGCGGCTGCGACTACGGCTGCTGGAGCGGGACCTGTGGCGATGGCGTTTCTCCCGGGATTTGGATCGAGTTCTCCTTTTCCGTTCCCGTGACATGGAGCGAGACCTATGTCTGCGATGCTCTCTGGATCTGGATCTACAAAAGATAGTTAGTTTTTAGCTTTGTTGGCACTACATTTCTCATTTACTAAAGCCTCCTCTTTAAAGAGAAACTATCCCTCAGTAGCCTTATTTAATGCCAATACTATTTCAAATCAGCTAAATCTATGCTAAAATGAATTGCTGGTATATTAATAACTACATACTAGAATTTTGAAATAAAAATTAAACAGTAAAAAAAAAACAGTAGTTCTCAGAGGTCAATCAGTGTTGTATAAATTTACATCAGTAATATTTTTTACGAAGGAAACAATCTGTAACACTATTACATGCCAGGGATTGTATTATCTAGATGCTTTATGGACAATTTCATTTAAACTTCTAAGATTTTTAGTACACTTTAGAAACAAAGTATGTACCTGATGAACATGGACAGAAAGGAGACACATGATAAAGAATATTGTTTAGGATAAAGTTACTAACTTGCTGAATTGAAAAGGTTATATGACCATTGAAATAAGTTTAAATGCCCACAATGTGCCTTGTCAGTGTAATCAAAACAGTTAAGACAGTTCTCTATTCAAGTAGTATATAATTTATTTGGGAGGAAAAAATTAACATGCATAAATCATTTTAGAGAACTTTAACTGCAAAAAAAAAAAAGTATTTACTTTTTGTAGGTGTACAGAGAAGGAAAAACACTTCTGTAGCCTCCGCTGGGTCACAAAACTAACTTGTGTATTGTGTCTGCGGCCAGGATGAGGATGGCATATATAGAGGACGTAAAACATTTAAGGGAAAACAACGGGGAAGAAAGGTATGAATTTTGTTAACAGCCACTTTCAAAGTGATGGAAACATTCTAAACTGGATTGTGACAGCTGTACAACTTTAAATTTACTGAAAGTCATTAACCAGCACACTTAAATGGGTAAACTTATGGTATGGAGTGTAAATTAAACCTCAGTAAAGCTCTTTTAAAAATTTTAAGTCACTTTAAAGAATGAGGTATTTAATCAAATTATGAGAAGAGTGAGTTCAAAAGCACATTATTCAGATGATGTAACAACCACAGCTAAATAGAGTACTTTCACGATTAAATATTTCTGAAAAGAAACAGAGGGAAAAGATAAAATTCATTCCATACAAGTTTTTATCAAATGATATTTTCTTTTATCACTCACTTTGAGCTATTATAACAAATTATTTCTCCCAGCGCGTAATTTCATTTTACTAGTTGTCTAGTAACACCATTTACTGGGTGCCTACTGCGCTGCTCTAGGAACTGGGGAGACTGAGCAGCAAATACAGTCCTCAGGGAGCTTATACTCCGGAACGAGGCCTACACAGATATGTAGGCAGTAAATAAAGATAGGTCAGGGAATAAAGAAGGGTAAAAATGTAGAACGAAAGGAGGTGGTCATCTTTTGTATCGAATAGGCAGGAAAGGCTTTTCTTATAAAATCACATTTAAGCAAAGATGAAATGAAGTAAGGAAATCAGCTCATCAGCCAGCGCAGAGAAGACTGCTTCAGGTAGAGGGAACATGGGTGCAAAGGCCCTAAGGTGCGAGAAAGTTCAACATGTCCAAAGAATAGAAGAAACCCTTTTGGCTGCAATGAAATTAGCAAGGCAGAGTAATATCAGGAGTCTAACAAGCAGGATGACCAAGTACTTTGTCACTCAAACCAGGATGCTCTCAACATTAAATTATACAAAGGGAAAGGGGGAGCTATTAATAAATATGCTGAGACAAGACATAAACTGTAACTACCCTAGGGCACACTGATCACTCTATAAAGCCATGGTGAGGATTTCAACTTCTATGAATGAAATGGAAGACCTTTAGAGGGTTTGAAGACAGGGCTGATATGATTTATTTCACTTTTTAAAGAACTCATTCTGGCCGATGTGTAAAAAACAGACTGAGGCGAAGGAGAGTGGACAACAGAAACAGAAATTAAGAAATTGCTTAAGAGGCTATTGTAAATAGTGAGGTAAGAAGTGGCTTGGACTAGAGTAATAGAAATTAAATTTCTGGCCTGAATATCTAAAGATGTTCTATGTACAGAGTTTAAATCTCTCTTCAACAAAGGGAGAAGCTTGCATTAACCAACCGGTAAAAAAGAACAGTATCGTCATTTAATATTTCTACTTCTCATCCTGGATTGAAAAACTCAACAACAATATAAGTTAGCTGACACAACTGGTCCTGTTTCATGCCTTAGTTTTTTAGTGTTTAAAGCAGAAATACTGCTGAAAGATGCTAAAAAGTAGCAAGGGACATCTAATAGATGGTTTTTCTTTCATAACAACAAATGCTCTAGTTTACAGGGAAAAAGTTCTTGGGAAACAGTTACTCTTCAGAGTCAAGAATACTCAGAAGGTTTCAAAAAAGAAGATGTGATTTGAATAAGGAATGGTAGGATTTGAAAAAAATGAGAAAGGGCACTCTGCGTAGGCATGGACTCATTTGAGAAAGGCTCAGGGGACTTCCCTGGTGACGCAGTGGTTAAGAATCCACCTGCCAATGCAGGGGACACGGGTTCGAGCCCTGGTCTGGGAAGTTCCCACATGCTGCCGAGCAACTAAGCCCGTGCGCCACAACTACTGAACCTGTGCTCTAGAGCCCAAGAGCCACAACTACTGAGCCCGCATGCCACAACTACTGAAGCCCACACGCCTAGAGCCTGTGCTCGGCAACAAAGAGAAGCCACCACAATGAGAAGCCCGCGCGCAGCAACAAAGACCCAACCCAGCCAAAAATAAATTAAAAAAAAAAAAAAGGCTCAAGACGGGAATGAGAGAACAGCAAGTGAAGAACTAAGGATGAAGTGCACCATGTTTCCTCACCTTAGAAAAATTGTCAGAAACTAGTAAAAACTGTATTAAAAAAAAAAGGCTTCAAAGCCCACAAGTATTAGTGCCAAAGGTCAAAACAAAGTGTTATCTTGTCCTCTTTCTATTTAAAGGGGCATTTTAAAAATGCCCCTTCAAAGCTTTTTGGGATCACTGTACAAGGGGAGAAGTAATAAACTCAAAGTCTAGATTGGGTGCAAACAAACATTTTCGTTTCCCCCTTAATTAACTCACCATGGATTCCCTCATTCAAAATGTATCCAACTATTTATATTTTGAACAGGTACAACCTCTCAGAATGTGTTTCTTAGATGTACGACCCAAACTGATTTTTAAGAATAAATCCCGTCACATGTTTACTCTGAGCTTCTAAAGAAGATTTTAATAAAATGCTCTGAAATATTTTTAGCTTTCTCTATACTCCAGGGCACTTTGTGATTTTACTCTGATAAAACTAAATTGTAGCTCATGAGTATCTTCTGACCAACTTCCAAATGACACTGCTCAAATGTGAGCTACAAAAGAATTAAGAGTGCTAATTACTCATTCATTTAAAGAAAGATATTTAACCTATAAAAACTGCCTTTGGAAAACACAGCTTCACAACTTATCTTGTATAATACCTACCTTTTAGGATTCTTGCTATGTGATCGAGACCTAAAAAAAAAAAATCTATTTTTAGAAAAGTAACTATAAAAAAGGAAGAAAAGGTACAATGTACTGTTAAAATTACATCCTCATTTCTAATTTTTACATTAGTTTTATAAATATAAGGCTTGTATGTATGTACACAAATTTTTCCAAAAGGCACCACAAACTTTACAGACTTCCCCTTACCTAGGCTACCTGGCTCTAAAAAAACGAATATGCTCCTAGAAGACTAAAACACAACACAACTCACTAAATCTCCAAAAACCACCTCCTAGCCTGGAAAAAATTCGTTATTTTTATCTCTGTCATTTCTTCTTTCCCTCTGGGAACAGAATAAAATTTCTGATCTGTGAGACAATACTTTGTAATTATCACCTCACACTATAATCCCTAGAACACTCAATTCAATCATACAATGTTTAATATGACACACAATACTCTTATATAAAGTACTCTTCATATTTCCTAGCACATAATTAAAGCTCAACAGATAGTAATAGCTAACGTTACGGTTACTAGGAAGTCAGTCACAGGGGGTTTTTGGTGGAGAATATATACCATGGTTGCAGCATGACTTCGGATTCAGCCTGATGTAAATCTTAACTGTTTCCATCACTCACTATCTGTGTGGCCTGGGCAGATTATGTATCTTCCCTCAGCTTAGTCTGTCATTTGCAAAAGAGGGATATAGTAATAACAATTTCACAGGGGGCTTTCAAGTATTAGATGAATATAGGTAAATTCTTAGTGCAGTGGCTGACACATCATAAGCATCAAGTGACAGTAATTTTTATCATTATCCTTTTCAATACCATAGGTGGAATCCCATTTTGTGTGTCATTTTCTACTTACTAGTAATTTCCTCATCTTCCATACTTAGGTCCACTTCTGAAACAGTGTTAACATTTTATAACTAATGTTAAAGGCAATTTGCCATTTGTCATGTGGTGATGTACTTTCCTATGTGAAAATGTAGTCCTGCAAAGAATTTTGTTTTTCATTTGACCATCACCTCAGGTTCAATAGTTTATACTAGTGGCACTATAGTCTGTTGAATTTTAGCTTCAACTGAGATTTCAAATACCATTCATATTGTCTTAAATATTACAATACTGGGCAATATTTCCACAGAAACTTGGTATACACAAAAGAGAACAGAGCTAAAGCTCTGAGGTAAAATTTACCAGGAAATGAAGAACATATATATCAACGGAAGAATGACAGCAGTTCCTCTAAACAGGAACATGTCCATATGTAGCTTTGTTTTGTTTTGTCATTACAGTGCAAAAAGATTACCTGTTACAAGCCATGTAACACAAATGAAGTCAGTTTAAATGTCTTGAAATAGACTGAGTGTAACAGGATCAAAGCTTGAAAGAAGCTGACATAACCTAGTCCTGTATTATCAAAGATTTTAATTAATTTAGGGACATCTGCTGAAGAGAAGGTATTTAAATTTCAGAGATACGTAATACAATTAAGGGAACACTATTAAGTTAGAACTACACGTAAATGTTTTGTGGCATACCCCTCCCATCTGAAAATTGCTGAATTTATAAACATGATGCCACACAACTTGCTGCCAATGTGTAAAAGTGACCCAGAACATGTAAACATTCTAAATATGAAGAATATGATTTTATCAACTAATGTCAATATAAAAAGAATTGTGCACATTTAGCTATTAATAAACGAATAAAAATTTTAACAGTTTATAGCTCCTAAACTGAAGAAATACAGAATCGAAGTACAATGTAAAATAATCAATGAAAGAAGCGGACAAAAAAATACCCAAACCTTCTATCAACAAGTATATATCATAAAATAGTTCCATGCCAGCCTGGTACAAAGCTAGCCCATTATGAAAATCAGAGGGCTAGAAAAGGGCCTTGTTATATATCTTACTAAACATACAGATGTGAAGCAATCATTATTATTCCCTCTTCCATACATTTTGAAGGAAATCTCCTTAACTTAAACAGCCATAAGTTAACATACTTGAATAAACATTGTTTCACATGGTAATATTTTTAAGAGTAAACAGAAATTTCTCATGTCCAGATTTATTAACATCTACAACCTTGTATAATCACATCTCTTTTTAGAACCAGGGATATTCAACTTCAGATACTTGGACTACTCAATTACTCCATACCTCCTCAGCTTCTCCCTTTCTTCTCTCTCCCTTTCTTCTCTTCTTTTCAGGCGTTCCTGGTTTCTTTTCTCCTGCTTCTCAGCTACAACTCTCTTAAAAAACAATGACAGTTCAAATAATACTAAATGAGAAGCATTATTTACTGGGCCCATTCTTAGTGAGCATTATCCTAAACTTTACCATATCTAACATTAAAAAGTTTTTAATAAGAATTCATTTTGAAGTTTTGTCAGGTATAATCATTAAGCTTACAAGTCTGGTTTCCAAACTCTTTCCCCCCTTCCATATAAAATTTCATGTTTCTCCATGACTTCTTAATATTTCAAAGTCACTTTTACGAGATTTTTCTCCTCTTAACGTCTTCTGAATTCTAAACTCTTTAAAGATTTCCAATATAGAAATGTCTTCTGTCGGCTTCTAGTTACAATCCTGAGGCTGCTGCTTTTAAAAAGTACCAGTGAAATGCTGAACAGTTCTGTTGCTAGGTCTGTATTTGCAAAGGTTCCCAATTAGGTACCATTTTTGAGTTTTAACTTCAATCCAAACAATCATTTGCTCTAGTGAAACTCTTTTTGTAATTTCAAAAACTTTACCCAAGGTCATCCTTGCTACTCCAAATACTGAGACGAGCTCACAGTTAACTACAAATACGGAGACGTGTCTAGGTGATTCTGATTCCACATTATTTTAAATGTCAAACTATGGATCCTGGGTTAATTTCAGTGATAACTGCACAAAAAGTCACTTCCCAGTGTCTCCCATCTTTGAGACAGTCCTCAGTTCATGACAAAATGCTACAGTGCCACCATTTTTTTAAAAAACTAGCCACATCAGATTGTTGAAAAGTAAATTGATCCTTTCCATTGACTCTGCTTATGTTCACCTCTTTAGAAATAACCTTTTTTTTTGTTTGCTTATCTTCTCAGAACTCAGCAGACGAGTAAGAGCTGTGTTGCCTTTCTCACAACAGCCTATATATTTAATCGACAGTGATTGTCCTTTTTAAAAAATTGGTTTCTAAGTCCTTTCTGAAATGGGGGCAAAAGCATAAAACTAGAGGTCCTACCAGTTTGCTATTTAGTGAACTGCGAATTTCAAATAAATATTGGATCATTTTTTCAATCTTCCTTTAAAGTAAACATCATACTAAATTACTATTCGTTTTATTAAAAAAAGAAAGTATCACTGGAAATTTTAGGCATTATTTTAGAACCCAGTTTGCAAGGTTCCTCCCTAATTCAACATCGTATCCAAGACAAAATAGTACTTCCTCCCAGAGTAAGAGGATTTTTAAAGTCTGTTTCTCAGATATCATCCATTAAACAAGCTGGTATTTCCATTTACAATCCTACACTATTCAGTATGAATTGTTAACAGAATCACAGTTAAGAATAGTCTTGGAAAAAAAAAAAGAATAGTCTTGAATCACAATCAAGAATACTACACAAAAAGACAACTTACACAGATCAAAAGAATGAGTGGCTATATTGGATGAAGTGAGGGATATTAATTTACCAATGTACCTTTAATTCTTCAAGCTTCTCTCTTATTTCAATAAATCCCAGGTGCAGTTTACCCCCAAAATGATCAGCCAGTCGTCTGTCATTATCATGAAGACCTAAATAGGCAGAGCAAACTTCACAGACTCGAAGTTTCTGCTGCTGGAAACTGGAAGCTGGCATAGAATTCCGATAAACTTCCTAAACAAAAGTGACAGAAACAATGTTCATATAAACTGCATTAAAATCATACAATTACACAAAATACACTATGTTTATACCAAAAATGTTTCTAATGAACACACAAAAGCATGACTATTTTGTCACGAATATTACAGATTCCCCATTACCCCAATCCTCTGTCCTCGGGACTTCTCCATTGGAAATGAAAGATCAGAGCCTCTTTTGTCAAGAAATACCATAACAGTAACATGATACAACTTTCTTAAAAGGCTTTCTCAATGTTCTGTTTTCTATAATTTTCGTTAAAAATGAGATGTAGCAACCCCAAAAGTATACATCAGTGAAGGATCAAGGAAGCAGCAGTCGCTCATGCTTGGGGAAAAGGACTGCATGTCATCCATACTATTACAGCTTCCTTCCACTGCCTTCCTGCCCACATATCATTTCCCCCCTATGTAAATGCAGACAGGGCGTACAAATGATAAGACTTCCCATCAAACAGAGTAGCTCTAAAGACAAAGATGAAAGGTGTCTTATGGAGATTAAGATGTCTTGTACTCAAATCATTTTATTTATATTAAGTTCATTAATGAAATAATAAATATTAGTGGATTTGCGTATCCACTCTACTCTTTTTCCTTATTAACAGGATTCTGATTTTTGTTTGAGGCAGCAGCATGGCCAGCTAAAAACATTACATTTCCAAGCTTCCATGTAGCTTTTGCTAAGGAGATATAAGTGGACACTGCTTGACAGAATCTACAGGAAAGTTCTTTAAAAAGGAGTCAACAGATTCAGACGAAAATCATCAACAGCTGCTATAACCTGTGGATCAAGAAGCAATGGAAAACAGAATACTTACAATGTCAATACCAAGACACTTATTAATTACAAAAGGGAAACACAGTAACTTCACAGTGGAAAAATAGGTAACCTCACCAGAAATGAACAAACCACTAACACATGCCTTTTGATAAGGCTGTAGCATTATTTCAGTGGTATTCCTCTCAAAAATCTAATGAGAAAGAACTATTAGACAAATCCAAAGTGAAGGACATTTTACAGAATAACTAGCCTATACTTTTCAAAACTGTCAAGATCATGTAAAACGAAGACTGAGGTACCAGATTATATTAGACTCTAGAGAAACATAACTAAATGCAATACGTGATCCTGGACTGGATCTTAAACAAAAAAAATTTTCTTTTCTCAAAACGAACATTATTGGGACAACTGGCAAAAACTGAACAAAGTCTTCAGATTAATTAATAGTACTGTATCAATGTTACTTCTTAATTCAGATAACAGTACTGTGGTTATATAATAAAATATCCTTGTTTTTAAGAAATACACATTGAAGTATCTAGGGATAAAGAGGCAGCATATTTATAACTTATTGTCAAACAGTTAAAATATACACACACACTCCTGTAGGAAGAAAATGATAAAGCAAATGTGGTAAAATGTTGAAGAGTCTGGGTGAAGGACATAGGGGAATTCTTCACACGATGTGTTAACTTTTCTTAAAATATTTCAAAATAAAAAAATTTTTAAAAGGAAAACTGAAAACACAACACACAAGACGAGTCAACTCAACTTTTGTGCCTTGTTATTCCTCCTCTTTCTACTTACACATAGAGGAAAGGCTTTACGCTTAGTGGCCATAGTGCTACCACAAACTGATAAGCATAAAGATGAATCCACATAGTAAGGATGGCTGAACTTAAAGTTAGAAGTAGCTTGTATGCTAGATGGCATCATGGAGCTACTGTACCAGCCCCAGGCTTCCTAACCTCAAGTATTTATTAAATGAGAAAAACAAAACCCTTCTTTGGTTCAGTCATTGTAAGTTAAGTTTCCTATTACGTACAGTTGAACACAATCTATAATAGGAAAGTAAACATTTTAATGCACTGTCCTAAGTAAAAATCAACTGATAATACATAACAGGCTAACAATATTGAGCTACTGGGTAATACTAGTAAATCACCAAGTGTATATATATGAAGTTTTATGAAAACTCCAATATATGGAAGGAAAGTAATAATGATTGCTGGCTTCATTACCCAAGAGTCTTCTGGGGAAATAAACTAGCTATAAAATACTTCGTGCATTTTAAAATTCATAGTATTTATTTTCTGGATTGACATTAACTACATTTCAAGAAATCCTAATATTAAGACATTAAAACTATCTAGAATGGCTACTTGGTATATCTTTTCCCAGCCTAGAACCTTTAATCTGTGTCTTTGTATTTAGAGTGGGTTTCTTGTAGCTAGTATATAGCTAAGTCTTGTAGGGGTTTTTTGTTGTTGTTTTGTTTTAAATCTAGTCTCACAATCTCTGCTTTTTAATTGGATTATTGAGACCATTTACATTTAATGTAATTATTGGTACACTGGGTTTAAGTCTACCATCCCACTATTTATTTTCTATATGTCCAATCTGTTGTTTGTTCCTTTTCTCCTGCCTTTCTTTTGGATTAAGTATTTTTTAGGATTCCATTTTATTGCTACTATTAGTTATAACTCTTTTCTCCCCTCCAGTGGTTTCTCTAGGGTTTACAGTACACAACTTAACTTATGAAGAAAGCTGGAGAGTCTTTTATTAACGTAAGATAAAGGAGATTTCAAAACAAGGGACATTAACAGGGACAGAGAAGGACATGTCAAAATAATAAAGGGTTAAATTAATCAAAAGATACAACACTCCTAAATTAGCCTAATAACAGAGCTTCAAAATAAAACAAAAACTGACAAAATGAAAAGCATAAATAAACAAATCCACAACTATAGAGACTTCAACGCTCCTCTCATAGGCAGAAAACTCAATAGGATACAGAAGACTTGAAAAAATCTATTAACTACCTTGACTCAATTGACATTTATAGAACACTCCATTTAACAAGGCAGAATATCATTCTTCTCAAGTACAGATGGAAAGTTCACCAAGACAGACCATATGCAGGGCCACAAAACGAGTATTGACATATTTAAGAAAACTGAAATCACACCACATGTTCTCTGACCACAACAGAATTGAATTAAAATTAACAGAAAAAATCTGAAAAGAACAAACAAAAAACAAATTCAAATATGTAAAAACTAAACACATGCCTTCAAAACCCACAAGTTAAAAAAGAAATCACAAAGCAATATTAGCAAATATTTAGAAATGAATGAAAATAAAAACACAATATATGAAAATCTGTTTCATACCTTCTAAGCTATCGTCGTGCTTAGAAGAAAACTTACAGCATTAAATGGTCTAAAATCAATGATCTAAGGGGTGTGGGGAGGGAGGATTGGGAGCTTGGGATTAGCAGGTGCAAACTAGTATACATAGGATGCATAAACAACAAGGTCCTACTGTAGAGCACAGGGAACTGTATTCAATATCCTGTGATAAAACAGAATAGAAAACAATACATATGTATAACCGAGTCACTTTGCCACAGAGCAGAAATTAACACATTGTAAATAAACTATACTTCAATAAAATTAAAAAATAAACCAATTATCTGAGCTCCTGCCTTAAAAGGCTAGATAGTAAGAAAAAATTAAACCCAGGTGTGATACAGTTAGGAACAATGGAGACTATGGTAAAGGGGAGAGTACACTTTCATCCAAAGGCATTCGATTTTCTAAAAAATATCAGGGGGACCAAACAAAATAGAACTTTGCCTGCAGGATATCAGATTTTGATCTGTGCTGTGGAGGAAGAATGAGAGGAGGCTCCCAATGTGTTAGCAGACTGTACTAAGTAAGAAGGGAGAATACTATAGTTGCATGGGCCATGGAGTAGGGGGTAGGGTATCATAGTGCCCATGTATATGAAGACTGCACGTGTGTGGATTGTGTGTGAGACTGTTGTGTATGACTAGCTAGTTTAGTTAATTTCATTTACTAGTTATAAATTTCAATAGGATCAATGACTCTAAATTCCAAAACAACCACTAATTTTGATATACAACCCATTAGTATGATACAAACTAGTTAAATATTTTTAAACTGGTTTAAATTTCCTTTAATAGTAGTAATTTTTCAATAATTTCTAGTCAAATATATGTTCTTTAGGAAGTACAGACACTAAGGCTCTATAAACTACCATAAAGAATTTAGTTACCTCTGCTTCTCTTTTCTTTGCCCGTGCTTTCTCTACTTCATCCATTACTTTCTGGGATTCCTCCACATTCCCTTCAGCTCCTAGCTGTTCCACCTTAGCCAACAATTTACCGATTTCTTCATTTAACTCATGAACACGTTCTGCCTGGAGAGAATCAGAAAAGATCATGAATAAAAAGCAGAATGTACCAAAGTTCAAAATATTGCATGAAAGACATAAATTATCTAAGGCAATATGAGTATAACTAATGCTTTCTGAGCGTATCATAAATGAACTGGTGGGACATCAAGATGTTTTGAGCCTGCCTGCCTTTACTTCAGTGAATTCAGGGGTACAACTGATCTCAATGTAACTATTACTTCTCAACCTCTGCTCCGGCAGTGCATTCCAAGTATAAAATACATTTTTGTACACAATTTGGCTCTCTGTACCTTTCCAAACTATCTCTTTCTGTTCTCCAACTTCACAACAAATCTACACTTATATTTAGTTTCCCAAACTTACCCTGTTGTTTTCTTCCTCTGTGACTTTGCACGTACTGCTCCCTCTTCCTGCGATGTCGTCCATTACCTCCCTTACCTGCCTAGTGTATGTCTGTCTATTCAGTAAGATTCAACTCAAGAGTCTATTATGTGAAGCACTGGTGAACAATCAATCACCACACCTTACCCTCACTTAAGACACTTAAGCAGAGAGGGCAAATACCCTCCTTCGTGCCATCTTTGTATCTTCTATGACCATTACTTTTATATATATCACACCACTTTAAAGATATCTATATACCATTTTTGTATTTCCAATGCCCAAGAAATAGCATATGCTCAAACATGAGTAAAAGAAATGAACTGGAGGATGTTCTTTAAAGCAAAGATATGGCTTTAGAGTCCAACTGCCAAACCAATTGACAGCCATGCAATTTTGGCCATATTACGTAACCTGAATCTACTTCCTCATCTGAGAAGTACGGATAATCTCACAAAGTTGTGAGAAACGAGAAAACGTGCCTGTACATGCACGCAGCACGTTACTGATATTCAGTAGACAAGCATGGCACCCTTCTCTCTTAGTCCATGTCTTTCCATTAGGATTAATTCTTGCCTTGCGTTCTGATATGCCTCCTCCTCACCACCACCATCATCGTGGGAATCTAGTTCATTCTTATTGTTTTAACAGCATATGATAACATAAACACAGTCTTTACTTTGGCTACAAAATAAGTACTCAGCCTGTGTGGCCAATAATATTAGTAAAGAAGTTTTTGTTTTCGCCTTTGGCTGCACTGGGTCTTAGTTGTGGAGTGCGGGCTCAGTCATTGCAGCGCGTGGGCTTAGTTGCCCCATGGCATGTGGGATCTTAAGTTCCCTCACCAGGGATCAAACCCGTGCCCCCTGCATTGGAAGAAGGATTCTTAACCACTGGACTACCAGGCAAGTTCTGCAAAGAAGGTTTTGATTTGAAATGGACATCCAGTCCCAACAAAGCAGTGTGCCAGTAATCTTTCCTTCTTAAATTTACCTCAATCCAATATATTTGTCCCTCAAAGAAATCCCCAACTCTGTTATCATTATCCTACCACTTTTAACAAAATGTTATCTTCTGTAAATACCTGCCACAGAATGACTGCATTAACGACCAAAACTCTTCACCCTTCCTGCATCTGTGCCCTTTGCTACGTAACTGAGTGCCATCATACGCTGACTCTGAACCTGGCCATGTAACTGGCTTAGTTAACAGGACGGTAGCAGACATGACATAGGGGAAGGCTTAAAAAATGCTTGTATGACTGGGCTTGATACTTTTGCACCTCTGCTACCACCATGGGAACATGGCCAGGCTAGCCTTCTAGGCCATAGTTCAGCAGCCTCCAGCCGACTGGAAGACATGTGAGTGAGCCCAGCTGAGATAGGAATGACTGCCCAGTCAAGTTCAGCCTAAGTCACTGATTATAGACTCACGGGCTACATAAATATTTAATGTTTTAAGTTTTGAGGTAGTCTGTTAAACAGCATTTTTGTGGTGATATATAACCAATACAATACTGTATAAATCAGTACAGCTGGGGTCTAGCCAACACCTGTGCATCTCTTTCAACCATGAGAAATGAGATTCCTTGTACTTTAGGATACCCATCTTTATAGTCCCCATCTTAAGGGAACTTTCCAGAAAAAGTTGGTTAAAGGTAACCCTCTCCTCAAACAAAGGAATCCATTTCCCTTTGTACACACATATATGAGCACTATATTTAATCACGTCACCTAAACTCTGAGTAACTTTGTCTCCATTCTGCGTTTTCATAAAATGTGCCAGACTCTACTGAATAAAGTAGTAAGTCAAACCAACAAAAGTCAATATGTGGACTTTGAATTCTGATTCAACAAACCAACTCTACTCAGGAAAAATGAACACATTCTGGATATTGGATAATTTTTAAAAATTGTTACCTTTATGGATGTAATTTTGTGGTTATGTTTAAGAGGTGAAATGATATGACGTCTAGAATTTGCTTTTAAAATAATGAAACAATAGCACAAGACTGATGGCTTCGAATCCATTGGGGTTCACTGTACTTTTCTATTTACTTTTTGCATATAAGTAGTCAACAAAACATTTTTAAAAGGCAGTGAGTAGCGTAGAACATCTGAAGAATACTCAAAACTCAACATTAAAAATATGAGCAATCCATCTGGAAAATGGGCATAAGACATACACAAACATTTCACTGAAGAGGTTATACAAAAGAGGTTATACAGTTGGCAAATAAGCACGTGAAAAAAATGTTCAGCATCAGTAGTCATTAGGGAAATGCAAACTGAAACTGCAGTAAGGTATACCCACACACCTTTCAGAATGATTAAAATGAAACACAGTGGCACTTCCCTGGCGGTCCAGTGGTTAAGACTCCACACTCCCAATGCAGGGGGCACAGGTTTGATCCCTGGTCGGGGAACTAAAATCCCACATGCCACACCGCACGGCCAAAAAAAAAAAAAAAAAAAAAAAGAGAAGAAAGAAACATAGTGACACCATCAAACGCTGGCATGATGTGGAGAAGCTGGGTCACTAACACTGCTGGCAGCAATGTAAAATGGTGCAGCCACTCTAGAAAACAGTTTGGCACTTGCTTTCAAAACTAAAAATATATTTACTAAATGATCCAATAACTGTATCCTTGGGCATTTATCCCACAGAAATGAAAACGTATGTCCGCACAAAAATCTGTACGTAAAGATTTACTGCAGCTTTATTGGTATTAGCCAATAACCGCAATGTCCTTCCCAAATGTCCTTCAATATATGAATGGTTAACCTGTGGTATATACATACCATGGAATACTCAAAAATAAAAAGGAATGAACTACTGATGAACAACCTGTATGAATAGTAAGGAAGTTGTGTTGAGTGAAAAAAGCCAGTCTCAAAAGGATACATACTGCATGATTCCACTTACATAATATTCAATGATATTACATAATTATAGAGATGGAAAATACATTAGTGGTGGCCAGGGCCTAGTGGGGAATGGGTGTGGCTCTAAAGGGGTAACACAAGGGAGTATGTGGTGATGCTACACAGTTAAGTAACTTAATTATGGTGGTAGTTACCCAAGGAACACGTGATGAAACTGCACAGAGCTATACACACATATGCCTAACTGGTGAAATCTGAATTAAATGTAAGGATTGGCCCAATACCAATTTATTGGCTTATGATACTGTACTGTAGTTGTGTAAGATGTTAACCTAGGGGAGGCTAAAGGAAGAGTATGTAAAATTTCCCTATATATGTCTTTGCAATCTCCTATGGATGTAATTATTTCAAAATAAAAAGTTAAAACAAAAGTAGTGAGGTAGAACTATACTTTGTATTAATGAAATGATTGAAAATCTTACCTTTGCTGCAACTTCAGCACTGATCTCTTCCTGAGTTTCTGCTAATCGTTTCTTAGCCACTTCTGTTCTTCGATCACAGTCTGCAATGAACGACTGCAGATGATCCATAGCCTACAAAGTTTAATTAAAAGACAATTACTGCAAGAGAAGTCATCTTATTCATGAATATCTTTACTCACAAGTTAAACTTTATTATTTAAAATGCTACCATGGGAATAAAAAAATAACAAAACTGGGTTCAGTTACAAATTGAAAACCTATTCATCATCTATCAAATTGACAAAGAATAGACATAAATAATTCCCAGGAAAGGTAAGCCTATAAGGAAACTGCCACTCTCACGCTCTGCTGAAGGAAGCACAAGCTAGCACAGCCTTTATAAAAAGGGACCAAGGTAATCGTTATCAAAAGCTTTAAAAATGACCCGACTTAGTAATTTTACTTCTAGAAATCTGTTTTAAGAAAGTAATCAGGGCTTCCCTGGTGGCGCAGTGGTTGAGAATCTGCCTGCCAATGCAGGGGACACGGGCTGGAGCCCTGGTCTGGGAGGATCCCACATGCCGCGGAGCAACTAGCCCCGTGAGCCATGGCCGCTGAGCCTGCGCGTCCAGAGCCTGTGCTCCGCAACGGGAGAGGCCACGATAGTGAGAGGCCCGCGCACTGCGATGAAGAGTAGCCCCCGCTTGCCACAACTAGAGAAAGCCCTCGCACAGAAACGAAGACCCAACACAGCCATAAATAAATATAAATAAATAAATAAAATTTTTAAAAAAAGGAAAGTAATCAGAGGTATATGGAGAAATTAATATTCAAAGATGTTCTTCACAGTGTTATTTTTAATGGTGAAAAGTTGTAAATACCCTAAATATCCAGGTAACACTTGGAAAATTTAATCCTCAGCCATTTAAAAAAGGTGTTAGTAGAACACGTTAAGGATATAAGAAAATGGTCATGATTTATTTGTAAATAAAAAGTTACAAAACGTTAAATGCAGCAAGATCTCATTTTTGTAAAATAAAGTAGCATAGAAAAAATGGAAGAGCATACATTAAATGTTAACAGTAATTATTTCTGAATATACGGATAATTTTTAATAATCTGTTTTCATGTGCTTTTCAAATTTTTCACAATGAAAATGTTACAATCAGAAAAACTTGCCCTTTTCTCAAAGGATAAACCACTGAGAATTTTAGAAGTGTCTACACTGCAAAAATCCAGGTCAATATTTATATAAAAGACACTCATTGGGCATATATTAATATATCTATAATTAAATAATAATTCATTTAAAAGTAAACTTTAAAGATTTATTCCCAAACCAACCGATTTAGACTTTCATATCTTACTGCAGAGAAATACAACTAATTCAAAACACAAATGTTTAAAAATAAAAATTTATTCAACACATATCAAATTCTAAAAATGGTTGATTAACCCATGAATTTCATGAAAATGCAAAATAAAACCTTTTATCTGTGATGAGAAACAAACAGCTATTTAATTCTTTTAGTTTAAATTTTATCTTTAAAAAAAGATGAACTAATCCATAAATAGTGCTGGGTCAACTAAGCAGCTATCTGGAAAAAGGGAGATCTATACCTCAATTCCTTATAACAGAATAAATTTAAGTTGGATCACAGATTTAAATATATAAAACAAAGCCATAAAAATTCCAGAAGAAAACATGAGATAGAATTCTCATCACATCAGGATAGGGAAGGCCTTTTGAATTAATCGAATAGATTTTTAAAAGATTAATAAATTGGACAACTATACAAACATTTTGCAAGACTCACAACTACCAAAAAAGAAATAGGAAAAAACTGCAATGTATTATCTGAGAAAAGGGACTAATTTTCGTTATCTGTAAAGAGTCAGTGCAAATCAATTAGAAAAATACTAACAGCCAAGATTAGCAAATAGCACCCACCCCCTGCAAAATGTACACTGACAGTTCAATGAAAGGGAAATAAAACCAGATCTTAAATCTATAAAATTTTTTCAAACTCACTCATAAGAGAAATGCCAATTAAAATTACACTATATTTCACATTTCATCTATCAAAGCTACACAGAAATCTTGACAGCACACTATGTGGCCTATGGGAAATAGATAATTTCATACATACTGGTGGGAGTATAAATTGATAATTCTCATGGAGGGCAACCAGGCAAAACTGGCCTTTGACTCAGTTATTCTGTTTCTAGAAATTTAATCTGTAGATACTTGATATGTAAAAACAATGTACTACCATACCATAAGAGAAAAAGATTGAAAACACCATACCCCTGCATCTACATGGTGAATTTCTGCTGTATTTTATGCCCAGTGTAGATTAAATCATAACACAATCACTTTAAGGTGTTTCCCTGACTGCTCCAGCCCCATACTAAATTATGTTTCCATTGATGACTTCATTTCCGTTAGCAGAAATTCCTGGAAGTTCAAAAAAGTAGATGGGGGGGGCGCTATTTACTACTTTATCTCCCAAACCAAATGAAACATCTACTACCTCACTGATAAAACATAAAAGGTTTATGGTCATCAGTATGTTTTACGTAATGCTGATTGGTACGTTTTCTATTAAAAAAAAAGTCCCAATTATTCTCAGGTTTGTATAAAAAAAAAAAGTCAAGAGTTTGAGCCCTTTAGATACCTAAATTGTACCTTCTATTTCCTCTAATATTTCTTCTATTAGTTTTACAAAAAAAACAACATTGTCCTTAATATCCTCCCTCTCTCTACATATATATTTACAAATACAAAAATAAATACGAATAAAAATTCAGTAATTAAAGGGCTTTATATACACTAGAAATTAGTTGTTTACATTTGCTTAAGATGGTATTTCCTTCATCACAACCACCTTAATTGGGAAGAATATGCTTAATTTTCAAAAGAATATATGACGTGCACAACTTTCACACATTTTCTTAAAATACCCAGTTTCACCTATTTTTAAAAACTATTGTTAGTCAAGAAAGTACATAATCTTAATTTAGTACTACCCTTCATGTAATCACAAAAAAGATAATTTGCTAAGAGCCTTTTTCCATTAAGAGATATGAATCCATATTCAAAATATTTTACTGCAAAAGATAATCTAACTTGAAGCAAAATGACATACATCGAGTTCAAAGAAAAAATCTTGTTCTTTGGATGCAATTTCATAATCTGCTCTTAAAGCCAGGTCATGGACTTTCAGACATTCTCCAAGATCCATTCTCTGGGTGGGGGGAGAAAAAAGACACATATTATTAAAACAGAAAATATACTTTTTCAAAAATTCATTAACAACCACAATTCTCTTCAGAATAATGATTAAGTCATACAGATGTTTATTTATGGACTTTCAAATTACAAAATTTCACAGACAGGTATAAAACTTGGTGCCTGCATGGAATAACCCGCATGAATTCTGTCTACGAACAGATGGGAACCATGATCACTTGTGTACTTAAGAACACATGGACAAGGAAAAGCCTGTCAGAATCTGAGAAGAGCATCTAGCTTTTATCTCAAAACATATTTCACTTGGCCCTTTAACACAGAAAGACAAAGTTAATTTAAAATCAAAGTAGAGCTTCCCTGGTGGTGCAGTGGTTAAGAATCTGCCTGCCAATGCAGGGGACACGGGTTCGACCCCTGGTCCGGGATGATCCCACAGGCCACGGAGCAACTAAGCCCATGTGCCACAACTACTCACCCTGGGCTCTAGAACCTGCGAGCCACAACTACTGAGCCTGCGGGCCACAACTACTGAAGCCTCCACACCTAGAGCCCGTGCTTCACAACTAGAGAAGCCACCACAGTGAGAAGCCCACGCACCACAATGAAGAGTAGCCCCCGCTCGTCGCAACTAGAGAAAGCCTGTGCGCAGCAACGAAGACCCAACACAGCCAAATATAAATAAATAAAATAAAATAAAATCAGAAGAACGAGCAAATCAAACTGCTGAATTATAGTCAATATTCTTTGAATAACATTCTAATTTTCAAATAAAGATGGAGTCCTCAAACAATAGACTGGTAATCTTGATATAGATTCCAGACAAGACTCCAGGTGAACTAGTAAAGAGATAATTTATTAAAACCCAATATAACTTCACAAAGAATAAGTATCTAGCCCCACTTTGATAAGCATATGTCAGGGAAATAAAATAAATACCAAGTAGATATTTATTTCAATAAGGAATCTACTAGGATCCTTCTACTTGAAATTCCAATTAGATACTATTTACCCAATTAGAGGCTTTTCTCATATCTGAGACAAAAATTTCTAAAATTCTGTCCACTTTTACATGTATCTGGGCAACTGATAAGATCTTTCATGAAATCCTTTTGGAAGCATACTGAACAGAAAAAAATGGACTAGATGTAAAGATAATTACAGATGTGATTAAAGGTGATCAGAGCAAAGCAGAGATTTTCCAACTAGAGGTATGCTATCCCATCACTGGAATGTCACAGAATCTCTGGAAAGTTGGTGAAAATAAATACAATAATTCAAAAAGTTATAGTAAATATTCCTTTTGTTTTTGTTACACAAATTATGCACAAAGTAAAACTACAACAAAACATTGCAGCAGTAAAGTCATCCTTCAACTGACAGCTGAGTACCTAACTTGTGCCAAGCACTATGCCAGGTGCTTGGGACATAGCACCAAGTGACAAAAGATACAGTCTCCAACCTCATGGAGCTGACATTCTAGAAGAGGGGAAGCAAATAATAAACCATACTTGTGTCGCTGAACAAAGTTAAGTGATCTAATAAAACAGTAATGCTCCCATTACTGTGAGAGGCTACTTGGGATGAGGTAGCCAGAGAAGCCCTTTCCGAAGAGGATACATTTAAAATGGATCTAAAAAGTGAGAGGAAGCACACTAACCTTAGGAAAAGCCAAGAAAAGAGTGTTCGAGGTTTACAGAAGATTTAGAAAGCAGATCTTTAAGTAAATATATGCCAGCGTTACTCAGTGGGAACTTTCTAGTAGCAGGGAACAGGACTCAAGTATCTACAGCACATAGGTCTGGGCCTTAGCTTTGTATATACTATCTAAAAATGACTTTGCCTATTTGACATGGTTGCCAACCACGTGGACATGTGTATAACAAAGGATATGATTATCAATTCTGTACAATATCCCAAGCTTTTTAAAAGGATGGTGAATTCACTGGATTAAGATTCAAAAATATTGATATACCAGATAAAATTTAGTATGAAGAAATAAATATGAAGTCCTACAGTTACATCTAAGAAGTCCAATTTACAAATAACTAGGTTATGAACAAAAAATCTGACAAACTGAAAAACTTACTAGTCAAAAGTAAGGGTTACAGTGTGGCATGACTGAGATCAATTTATGTGATACAAAATTAACTTACAGAATACAGTAAGAGCAAAGTTGAGAAATCTCTTATTGAAGGCTGGTTTTAAAAGCAAACCCCTCTCCTCCAAAACACACACTGTTGTGTGCTAACACATTTCAAAAGTGGTATGAATAGGGCTTCCCTGGTGGCGCAGTGGTTGAGAGTCCGCCTGCCGATGCAGGGGACACGGGTTCGTGCCCCGGTCCGGGAAGATCCCACATGTCGAGGAGCGGCTGGGCCCGTGAGCCATGGCCGCTGAGCCTGCGCTCCACAACGGGAGAGGCCACAATGGTGAGAGGGCCATGTACCGCAAAAAAAAAAAAAAAAAGTGATATGAATAAACAAGATAAAGTGTCTCAAAACAAAGCTATACGAAACAGCCAGAGAACGGATGTAATTAGCTGGAGAAGAATTAAGATGTGAAAAGTCAACTGAAGAACTTTTCAACATGAAGCAGAAACACAGTGTATTATGGTCCCAAGGGACTCCGGAGAGTTAGACTTTAGTCCTCTCAACATAAGAAAATAACCTTCTAATAATCAGAGCTTTCCAAAGATGGAATAAGCTTTCTTGAGAGCTAGCTGCCAGATAACTGAGGTTCAAATACAGTTTAGACAACCATTTCTCTAGGGTAGTGAATAAAGAATTCAACCATCAGATAACTTTTATTCTTTCCTCCAACTCTGAGATCTTATGACTATCTTTAAAAAAAAGTTTCTCAATAAAACTATATTACCTCAGTTCTTAATTATGTAAAGGAATGAATGGGAAAATATAAATAGACAACGTCCTCAAAGTTATCCTTTCGGAAATAATAAGGAATATTCACCACCATTATAAAAGTCCTCATCACACTAATGGTCTAAAGTGTCCGTGTTGCTGAGGATGCTGAGATTTTCCAGGCCCCATTGCTTACTCTCATTCATTAGTCCCTGGATTAACAAACTAAGGAGTTTTCCAGTGATAAGAAACAGCAACTGAAACTGTGTGGAAATTCAAAGCTGCTTATTAGGCAACATTTATTAAGAAAAAACTGCAGAAAAATACTCTTTATAAGAAACATGCAGGAGGGCTTCCCTGGTGGTGCAGTGGTTGAGAGTCCGCCTCCCGATGCGGGGGACACGGGTTTGTGCCCCCGTCTGGGAGGATCCCACGCGACGCGGAGTAGCTGGGCTCATGAGCCATGGCCGCTGAGCCTGCACGCCCGAAGCCTGTGCTCCGCAACAGGAGAGGCCGCGGCAGTGAGAGGCCCGCGTACCGCAAAAAAAAAACAACAAACAACCATGCAGGAAAATAAGACAGGAATGAAAGAAGTTAATGGCAAAAAGAATGGTGTTACCCCCTTTGTTACACCAGCCTGTTGATTTCTTAATAATAATATCTTAATTAACATTAATCATTTCAACAATCCTATTTGCATAGATTTCCACAGCTATAGTTGTTCATGCTATGCTTATTTCATAAAATGTTAAGACGTCATAATTGGAAATGCCTTTGATCCTGTGCAGCAGTTCTCAACCTAGACCCGGGGAGCTTTTAAATAATATCAGTGGAAGCTTCTGAAAACAGGCCCAAGCCCAACCCTCCAAAAACTGAATTGTAAAAGCCTCCCAGGAGTTTTTAACGTACAGTGTTGTGAACCACTCACTGATCCAGTTTTATTCCCATTCCACAGACAAAGGAACTGAAGGCCAGAAAGGCTGACTTCTTCAGGGTACTTATTAGGAAATCTGGTTAGCAGATTTCTAGTCTAACACCCCTTCCACTTTATTATGCTAGTTCCAATTATTTCAGTACTAACTCATCTTTTAATATTTTTAGTTGACATTCATCCCCCGTAACATCTAAAAAAGCTCTGCACACAGCAGATATTCAAAGCAGCCGTCTACTGCCTTTCCTTCAGTAATCTCCCTTATTTTTATCCTCTCCATAACTATATTTCCAATCTGTTTTCAAAAACATATAAATTGCCTGTGTTTAACCTAAACATCTCTGCTGTCCACCCATATTATCCTTGGGCAGGAACTCCAGGCTTTCCTCAGTCTATCTTTAAATTTACATCGCACAACCAACCAAAAGAAGAAAAGCAACTACACGGGTCAAGAACAAAATGAACACCAAAAAATACCCAATTATATCCCTGTAGCAGAGGTGGAATTTTGGTGACAGGAGTAGAGCTGGGGGTAATATATGCCTTGGGGGGGATTTACAGAAGGGAAAATATGAGCTCCAAAGGGATAAGGATTTTTTTCTATTTTATCCACTATGTACCTGGGCCTGTATACAGGTACACAAGAATGCTTAAATAAATATTTAATATTTGTTGAATGAACCAAACTAGGAAAAGAGAGCAGAGAAGAACACTGGCACAGGGGGCCCTGGACTTAAAGAGCAAGGGTGGTCAAGACGCACCCCAGGACAAAACTTGTCTGAGCTCTGGAGGGGAAGGTCTTCTTAGCCTCTCCTTGGATTACCTTCTTTATTGGAACTGCTTTCCTTCTAAGGTGCTTTAGAGCTATTCTTCTCTGTTTTTTCCTATGTGCTCCTCTCCTCCAGGAGGAAAACTTACTTGAGCTTTTCACTGTGCTAGGCTATAAGCCTCTGCAGCTTTGGTCTCGTCTAGCTCACCAAAGTAGATCTGGTGGCCGAAGCTGTAGGAGCTAGAAGAGCCTAGTTATAATGAAGACCCCCGCCCCGCGCCCCCCGCAATAGCCTCAGTGCTTATTTCTTCAGGGACCCAGCAGAACAGTAGGTGTAGCAAGGCAAATTTTCAGAGTCCTAGATACTAGTCATCTATTTTCCTCTGTCCATAACATCATTACTAACCACTTATTCTGGCATCATGTCATGCACGTGA